TCACGTTGTGTTCCATCGGAATTGGTTTGTGGTGCCACATCATCGCATGTCTCAGTTGTGTCCCTACAGTAAGATCCCATACGATATAGCACATGTACCACAACAACGGGATGAGCTGTATGATGCCGGAGCTATTGTTCCGGTGTCCCAAAAAAGACGCGCCTCAATGTGTGCATTGATTAGGATGGTGTGGTGAGTCAGAAACGCTTCAATCTCAGTTCCAATCCTTTCTACCCTTTAGCTTTCTAACGTGATGGTGAAGGTGCTTGCTGTAAGGGTTGCCAGCGGTGCATATGTTCTGGGAGCTGACGAATCGCATGAATGGTCGTCTGATGTATTAGCGTTCGCAGGACGGGTAGTGTTCTGTTTCCTTGGGCCACAAGGAGAGAAGAAGATGCACAATTTAGACAATATCACCTTTCCTGCGGTGTGTAAAGCATGCGTAACAGATTTTAACCAGGTTCGTGTATCTTACCTTCTAATCCAATATAGTAAGGTAGGTAGCCAGATAACAGCCTGAAGTGGATCTAATGACTGAAGGCCACAGCCATATGAAGAGCCTGCCTCTAGTCGATACGAGGTCATTGAGCTGAGACACCGGTGATGTAGATTCGCCTAAGTTCGAAACCGCCCTGCGTCAATATCTTGTCCCTCGCCGGTTTGGCTGTCGTGCATACCAACGGAGGGCTCTCATTTGCGCCAATTTGGGCACTGGATGATCATATGAACTTGAGAAGAACGAGACGGTTGCCTTGTAGCGGTGAACACACCCCGAGCGCATCTAAAACCAAGGGGAGCCTATCATCGTGTCAAGTTTGCAATAAGGGCAGGATGAGAAGAGCGTAGGTCGGTCCAATACGGGGCGACAGCATGCTCACCGGGACGAAAAGACGGTGAACAGTTCCAGTTATGGACGATTACTCCGACGAAGAACAGCGGGCTGTACTTGGACTGTCAAGAATCCAACTGACTGGCCTGGCGCCACCCAGTTCTGGCAAATCAACATCAAATGACTATCGGACCACGGATTGTGCACTATGCGCTACACCTCAGGAAAGAGTACAGCCAACTACAAGATTGATTAGAAAATTGATAGGAAATGGGGGTACAGATGTGAATGCCACGTTTTATCTTTGGTCCAAGTCTCAAGAGACGGCACAGTACCTGCTAAGGCCCCAATCCGCATCAAAATGCAGCAGCAACAAAGACCTGTCCATTATGTGAGTGGAGATCGAGTAGATGTCGTCAGCTGGAATCTTGCCACCCTGAGGGGAGTTTTACGAAAAGGAAAGCAGTCGATAGGTCGGTCAGAGTCTTTAGTGAAACGCCACTGCTATGACAGGATGAAAATTACGAGGAAAAGGAAAGCTTGGATAAGATTAGAAATAAAATAACCCTTCCCGAAAGTAGAGTTGTGGTCAGATATTGAGTTATTGGAGTTGTCATCGAAATGTAGTGGTATACGGACAGGGCGTATCTGTTGTTTTGACTGAGGTGGCGGTAAAAAGGAAGTGTAGATCCCACGCCTTGCGTGATTTTAAGACGCAAGTAAGCGTTCTCGAAGATTCCATGTCCCTGAGATTTACCAGTCTACTACGGTGGTGTGTGAATAAAGAATTGTACTGGTAAGAAAAGTCGTAATGGTAGTTGCATGACTGCGTGGCGGCATCGCAAGGAATCGCCGTATTGCGATTTTAGTGCGAGGCTGAGCCTCGACGTATTGGTATATTCGCGGCCAGCGTAAATCGCAGGACTATGCACAGTTTGTTCAACTCCATCTGCACAATGTGGAAGGTCGATGATATTAGTCAGGCCGTTGCGTTGGATTGCCACCATATCGTGGATGAGGATGCAGGTTTGGTGTGGCGCAGTCGTCCGCTGTGGTATAAATCCGCAGTTCTTCGGCGGCGCCGACGAGGAGGCCAACAGTGTGAAATATGAGATGCGCAATTCAGCTAAGCGATGGAAATACTAAAGCTAAATTTTGGTTGCCCTTATTTCGTGCTGTAGAATGCGGTGCAAGCTGAGAGGTAAGTACACACCGACAAATCCTTAGACCGAGTGCGGCAAACAAGAAAAATTCAGCTGGCATGAGAGAATCCAGTAGATGTTGAATTGAAAAGAACTTTTAGAGTCTTTCTAGGCTCCAGAAGAGGCTATGGATTGGCGTGTCCTGGAGGTCGAGCAGGATGTCGATAGAGACGAGTGCATGATATAAAGATGGCAGCTGAGATCATGCTTAGGACTCGCGCTAGGAAAGAAGACTGGCAAGAAGGCTTTTCTGACGGCCGGTAGAGTACTTAAAACAGCATGACAGCAACGTCGAATTTTGACCAGTTTAACCATATTGCCATGGCGACTCTGTGACTGATACCAAAATCGTCATGGCCTGAGAGTTCCCAGGTTGCAGTGGTGAAATGCATGAATGCAAGGGAAGAAAGAAGCGAGGACTCGCAGCGCTGCAAAGCGAAACGAATGGATTTGATTCATGAAGCTGATTGCAGTTGACAATTACGAAGACCCCAAACGTGAGAGCGTGAAGAAGGAGAAGTATATGAGCGATGACTACATTAGCAGCAATGGATACGGAGTACCTTAAACAGAAGACCAACATAACAAGCAAGACGAAGGAGATGCATGGTCGGGCTGATACTCATGGAAGGCGTGATGGCTGAACCTAGCTTTAACAGATTTGGCATGCTCTACTCACGATTTGAGCTTTGGGAGAATTTTGGATTATGCTGTACTTTGTACTGATGTGGTGCACTACCGGACAGGAAAGTTTGGCGGGACAACCTCAAGCCCCCCTAAATGCTCAATGGCCTGATGGCCTGAACGCAGCCCCTTGGCCGCTAAAGCCGACGTACGTACTAAAATTTGAATCATGCGATCGGCTAAAATATGGGCATCATTATTTACTATCCACTATCAAGTCTGATTAACTTATGCCAAAGAAACTCAACTCCACCTCCTGATTCCTTCGCTCAAGCCAGTCATAACTCTGGTGCTACAGCATATTGCAATTGGCTTCTACTTTCCATCCAACACGACCCAACAATTCAGTACAATGCCTATGATTCTTGATAGTTCCTCATCCTCCTCAAATGCTTCTCAAGATGAAAAAGAAGAACGCCGAAGACTCCACCATGACGCAGAAGTCGTCATAGTAGGTGCTGGCATAGTGGGTTGTGCCCTTGCGGTTGCTTTGGGAAAACAAGGGCGTAGTGTAATTCTGCTAGAGCGGTGGATGAAGCAGCCAGATCGAATAGTAGGAGAACTTCTACAACCCGGAGGAGTGGCCGCTTTAGAAAGACTTGGATTACGAGACTGTTTGGACGGCATTGATGCGATTCCTGTACAAGGATACGCGGTTATTTATTATGGTGAAGAGGTGGATATCAAATATCCTTTAAATGCTGGCAAAGCAGATGGGAAGAGACCAACGGGGATGTCGTTTCACCACGGAAGATTTGTATCAAAACTGAGAGAAGCAGCGATGTTGGCCCCAAATGTTACGGTTGTGGAGTCTAATGTATTAGGATTGATCAAGAACGAATGGACCGGACAAGTGCTGGGTGCGGAGTGTACAACGCGAGGAGAGAAGGATTATGTATGTGGCTATTAGTAACCAATAGCCGAACTTTACTAACATGTCGCAGTACTTCGGCCAACTCACAGTAATAGCAGATGGCTATGCCTCAAAGTTCCGCAAGGAATACAACCCTCACACTCCTAAATCACGCTCCAAGTTCTATGCATTAGAACTGAAAGATGCAGTCTTACCACATCCCCAACACGGTCATGTACTTCTGGGTGACAATTCCCCGGTCTTGCTTTATCAAATAAGTACACACGAAACGCGTGCTTTGATAGACGTTCCGGACAACCTACCAAGCGCCTCCCGTTCCGCTGGTGGCATTGAAAATCACCTTCGAAATCTTGTTCTTCCCACATTACCAAGTTGCGTCCGACCGTCCTTTGAAGAAGCCATAGTAGAACATCCACGCTCCATGCCGAATTCGTGGTTACCGCCATCAACAAACAAAACACCAGGAATGATATTACTGGGCGATGCAATGAATATGCGCCATCCATTGACTGGAGGCGGAATGACTGTGGGACTCAACGATGTAGTGTTACTTTCCGAATTGCTCAGCCCGACGAATGTGCCTCAACTGAATGACACGAAAACGGTGCTCAAACAAATGAAGACTTTCCACTGGAGAAGGAAGGATATAACAGCTGTAATCAACATTTTGGCCCAGGCGCTGTATGCCCTTTTTGCCGCAAACGGTATAACTCGCATCCCTCCTTGATCCACTTCATTATTAACATGACCTACAGGATCCAACCTCAAAGCCCTTCAACTAGGCTGCTTTCGTTATTTTCAAATGGGTGGAAATTGCGTAGACGGCCCCGTAGGCCTCCTTGCTGGCATAATCCGAAATCCGTTCATCCTATTTTATCATTTCTTCGCGGTGGCATTTTACGGTATTTGGGTAAAGGCCATGCAGAGCAATATTCTACTGCTGCCAATTACTCTGCTCTTCGGCGGTCTGTCAATCTTGTGGACGGCAATATGTGTTATTGGACCATATATATGGAGTGAGGTTAAGTCGTGATGGAAGGAGGTTGTATATATCGGTTGGATGAAGCGCTGGGATTGTGCATACTGGATTCATTTAGCGTTTGAGCGTATCTCAGGTTGTAATAATCTTAAGTGATAGAGCGCCTCTTGGCCAGGCTTTGGGTATGTTATTCACATCATCTGAATGACCTGGAGCAAGCTGATGCATGAACTCCTTGTCACAGTATTTTATGTTTCTCTATTCCATTCATTTCGCTTTCTCATCTTCATTCGATGTTGTCCTATATACACCTCCAGGAACAGCCACATAATTTCTCCACGGCCACACGTTCGTACAAGCGCGTGTGTGGGTTTTCAAATACTACAGACACAACATATCCAACATGCGATAAAACCTTAGAAAGGTCAAAAATACTGCGACCGGGGATCGAACCCGGGACCTTCAGCGAGCTATCATGGTTTTTCGCCATGTGAAGCGGACGTCATACCACTAGACCACCACAGCTGTGCATTAATCTAGAAGTGCTTAAACTTGATTATATTTAATAGCTCACGATTTCGCGCGGTTAAGGCAAGAAATTCAGCTTTAACGCGTGTCTACGGGCTAGAAACCAATGAACACGAAGTTGCGGATCATAAGTAGGAGTACTACCTCATATGTGTTCCGGCTCACTAGGTCGCCGTCAGATGCATAAGTAGCACCCCACAAACAATCGTTGTGAAAATAGTTTGCCTGAATCCAAATGTCCCCGCTTCGACTCCCCGTGAACCCATCTGTGAGCTCGAGTCTGTTCTCCACGCAACACAAGCACCACATTCTCACACCACATCAGGTCACAATCTCTCCATGGAAGAATGGGCACGAGACTCGATGTTCACGCATCGCTCGCTAAAGCCCTAATCCTCGCCACACCCATACCCATTGGCTAATCCACTATTAAACCTCGGGTGATCATGCATCTTTCCGCTCACTCTTCCCCATATACTTATCCTTTCAGGAATGCGGGCAACCACTTTAGCCGGGGAACTGTGGCAGGGCTGTGTACGAGGAGATGCGTTTCTTCTTGGAGTTGACTGAACGTCTCGTGTGATGTCTGCTATTATTCTTCCCGGACTACGACGACATCAACGGCCCACTTCCTGTGCTCTAGTAACGCGGCAGGCACGCGTTTCGTCGTCTCGCCACTGGAAGTGGATTGTATCCATCCAGCCTTCTCCGCATCTTCCGCTGTAGACAGATTTGACTTCAATCTAAAATCGATATATTCACACCAACAGAAAACATATGTTTTCCTCCCACCTATTTTCATTTCATACAGCCTCAGCACCAAATTAATACACAATACACATCAAATGATACAAAAATCGCTCCTCTGAATGGCGCCATCTCAAACACCAACATGGCAATCCGCCTCACCGTTACAGTCAGCAATCAGCTCATCTAAAATAAGTGCGGCAAGTAAACAAGGTCGAGGATCCAGATGGTATGACTGCTCAATCAATAAAGCGAGAGGTAGGGGCTGATGAAATATAGGTATATACTGGGCGCAGCAACAGTCACAACACTAGGCGTTGCGGTTGCACTTGAAGCAAGCAATAAGTCCGCAGCGAAAAACGTGTTGAAATCAAAACAGACAGAGGCGGACAAACGATATCAAGCTCTTCTCGACTCTTATGGAAGCGGAGAAACGCTGGAAGATTTGGAAAGAGCAGTATCGAGTTATAAATGAAATTTCTTGGTGGTCATGTTATTCATGCTTTTTATCACGTGCAGCTTGACATGTTGAATGCCATCCTCTATCGGTGGTCTCATGGATAAAATTGGAATGGATCTAGAAGTCGGTGTGACATTGTGTCATGTTGTCTTATTCCTTCGACGCTCACTCTAGTCCAACCCGTTTAGAAGCCTTCTCGTTCCTCGAAATACTTTCTACACTCGACAGCTCGCTCAAATGGCACCACAAAAAGTGGATGGACAGGTTTGACCCAATCATCCTCATCACAAATTACATCTGCCCTACCAGTAATACTCCATCCAAATCCAGCAGATGCCCTCACCACACTGAAACTCTCCTGATCTTGGAATCCGAAATAATGCTGCGCAGTGCTCAGTCCAGCAAGTACGTAACAGGAATGATAGCTATCCGGGTTTTTCGAGGGTTTGTCACGTAGCCCACCTTGTTTTTGTTGTTGACAGCAGCACAGAATGAAGCGAATGAGACCTTCACGAGACCAGAGGTCCGTTTGAGGTTGAGATGATGAGGAGAGCGCGGCCGAGATGATGGGCCAGCAACCACCAACCCAATGTGAATAACAACCATCAACTAGCTTGTTTGTTCGACCAGCAAACCCACTGTCTGGAGCATGCTGCTGGGATGATAACCATGATATAAGCGAAGGCATGTTGAGGCATCTGTCATTTGGTTAGCAAAGAGGAAGGAAAAGAAATAGTATCCCTCTACTTACCGAGGAATTATTTTGGACGGGGTATCGATAATAGCAAGGCACGCCAATGCGCAGAAAGCATAGGCACCATGAGCTTCGTTATTAGGTGCACCTGCTATGCCACCTTCATAGGTTTGACAACTGGACACCCACTCCTCCAAATTAGTTAAGAATGTTTCGTCACCATTGACTTGGGCGGGTGAGTTTGCTGGGAGCTCGAGTGGAAGATTGAGTAGTGATATGATGGTCATGCTGCAATATGCTCCGCGAATGTCAATTTCTCCTCCTTCGCAGACCGAGAAGCCTCCATTCTTTTGCTTCATTTGACCCAGCCAATGCCACCTTACATTTCGTTAGTAGATACCGAGAGCAACATCCTTGATAAACTCACATGGCTTTTCTGTCTATCAGATCGAGAGCTTCCTGACCTCCGACCATGACAATACTTAAGACGGACGCATAGCTTGTTGCAATGTGGGAGAACTGTCCGTGACCACCACCAAAGCCTCCAGTCTTATTTTGAAATGGCGTACACGTCGATATAATCCTACGCTATGTCAAAATTTGAGGTCTGCGTCAAACTGAACAATGTGGGCACCCACCTCTCACGATACTCAGACACGTCCACATCCAACATCGTCATCGCTGCGAGCGCCCAATAGAGCATCCATGGTCTCGTTGCATCGGCTGCAACAAACTGTGGTGGAAATGGACCTTCCAGCATGTGCCTTAGATATCTTGTATGTTTCTTCCGAATCAACGATGAAATGCCAAAGACATTGAGATCTCCTTCCGGTTCCATAAGATATGGCAACAACTCGGCAAGAGTTTCCCCCTGCATTTCCGAAGTGATGGTCACCAGATTATCCTTAATTGGAGGGTGGCTTGTAAATAGCGATGGTATAGAAACCTCTTCGGCTGACATGGCTACTTGCTCCATTTCCGATGTTGGCAATTCAGAATCAGATAGTTCTTCTATTCGGGAGTCTGAAGAGTTTGTGGTGTTTTCCATCGCCATTTTTGGGAAATGAATGCCGCGCTTTTTACGCAATGCCTTTCGGAATGGCATATAATTTTGACGTTAGTATTGTTCTTGTGATTGCTGAATGCGGTTGTCTTAGCAATCCTCTTGTTGAAGTTTGGAATGCATGTTGTTGTTTTTATGAGAACTGTGATCACGAAAGAAAATGAATGGACATAGTTTCTAATTTCACATTTCGATTCCTATGTAGTTGGGTTAGAGGAGAGTAAATAGTGTATGAAGTGATGATACTGGGTACCTCCGTAGACGAGCGTTAAGGAGCAGTTATTATACCTCAGGCACTAAGGTAGAATCCGCCCCTCACCAACTCCCTTCCCGTTTCTTTCTTCCTAACCCTCGCCGCGTACGAACTTGCTGAACAATGCGATTGAATTCATCAATCAAGGCTTTTGGAGGCTCCTGGGTAGGTTTGATAGTGAACTCGTACGCCGCCCCGTTCGAAAGCCAGCGTTCGGGACGTATTCACCAAAATCTTCTTCTTTACCAATTTTAACCATTCCGCGAAAATCGATTCGGTCGAGGGCGAGATCATGCTGGCAAAAGGAAATGTCAGCAAGCCGGAGACAATTGAAGATTGCGGCGATTATTTTCCCGAACGCTGGCTTTCGAACAGGGCGGCGTACGAGTTCACTATCAGACCTACCCAGGAGCCTCCAAAAGCCTTGATTGGTGAATTCAATCGCATTGTTCAGCAAACCGGCGTTCTTGGGCTGTACTATACATGTACTGTAATGTTTCTTGCACTTCTTCAGCGTTGCCAGAGTTGGAACGTGGAAGAACGCCCTACCAAATCATTTGAAGGAACATACGGTGAAACTTGTTCCACGTTATGATTATTATTTGGAGATACTGGTATAATTCATGTTCACGACCTTCGAAACAATCGTTCCTCCCAAAAAGAGATGAGCTCACTCTCATCACCTTTTTCAACAAGCTCAACTTCAAACCAAAATCTGCCACTTAGTGGCACCAGATCAAAAACCTCCAGATATGCCTAGAAGAGTAGCCGCAACTGCTACCAGCATGAATGCCAAGCTACAGCCAGCCAGACCTGCTCCATTTTTGGACGTATGACTATGAGCAGGAGACATGATTCCAGTGGTATTAGTGCCGCTACTCGTCATAGAATGTTTCTTCGTCAATTGCGAAGGTGGACGTAACTGCAAATACGGGGAGAAAGGAGGCGGGGAGTTCAGAGCTAGCACTCCTTGAACAACTTCAAGTGCGGTCATCTGTTGCCCAACCCCCCATGTCCCGTCCCAACCATCTAAATACCACTTTATTCCACACGTCACACCATCATTACCTCCAGAACAGGACCTCGCAGCAGCTCGAGCAGACGTTTCCAACATTGTCCGAATTTGCGGTGTGGTAAATGGAGCGAGGACTGCGGTTTTGGCCAGCCAACGGGCCAGGTAGCCTTTGAATGATAACTGGTCGATGTTGCAAGTATTGTATGTTTCGCAAGCTGGTTCGTACATTACATCCGTCGCATTATCAAATGGCCTGAAGAAAACCGTGCTTGCATCGAGAAGTCCCAAGGTGCGATCAACCCAAGTCTGGGATTGGGTGATGCTGAACATTGCTGCTGCACCTTCAAGGAAGATGGCGACATTGTAAGACCATTGCGTATGCTCGAGCTCGCGGCAGTCCAATAAATCGTTCGTCCCATCGTAGACATCGTAGTTATCAGCGATTAGACGAACCGATCGACACCAGTCCCATGTCTTCTCTGCCCAGTCGATATACTTCTGTTCTCCTGTATATCGCGCGAGGCGAGCTGCGAGTTGGAAGAAGGCGCCGTTACTGATAGAGTTTTTGTAATTGTAACCATAGGTGTTTTCCGGGTAAATCTGCCATTTTAGTCCGCCACCACAGCTTGTCATATCCCATCGGGAGGCCTGGTTGTCGAAGAGAGCTATGGCTAGATCGAGCCATTGCGGTTGATCAGGTGGTGGGCTTGGATATTGGTTCTCTAGAGCTGACATTAATGCTAGACCCCAAAAGGCTTGATCGTC